GTAAGAGAGAAAGATAAGAAGTACCTTTTGCGAGGCAAGCGTTAAGCGTATTAGGGAAAAGGTTATGCTTCAATTCATTTCCACTTCGCTCGTAGACATTTTTTATGAATTCGTACTAGTGAAAGTTTCTATTACATGGTAATTAAAAAGTTTATTTTACGTTAAAATCGTTCCAGGATTGAAAATTGAAATAGGTTTTGATCGTTCTTGCAAGAAGACAATGAATAGGGCTGACATTTTTAAGGAGTCAGTTGTTTAGCTTGAGGGGGAGCGAAGGAAAAAAAATATTGTAAGCAGAGCTTTCTTCGCGCTATAGTCATTTCAACTCCCCCAAGGTATGCTGGGAAGATGATATGTGAATCTGCTCTACTTTTGGCAAATATTTGTAATCTAAGAGTTCTTTTATTTCTTGTTATTATTTTTAGGGCCAATTCCGTTGATTGGCAATTCTATTATTCTTCCTGTTTTTTTTTTTCAGTAAATATGTTCTATGTTTCTCCGAATCCGCTTACATTCAGTCCGGAGTTTCGTGTTAAATATGATGAGCACTCTGAAGGAAAATGAAACCTCGTATATTCGGCTACAGTTCTTTGAAGGTCGAATCCTTCGGAGATTAGTGAAAGAGATGAATCACAAGTACCCTCTGGATAAAATATGTTGTTGTGTGGAGGCCTTTAGAAATTGTTGAACTTTGTTTTATTTACGAATTTATCAATGCAACAGAGCATTGCGTTTTGTTTGTATATTATTCTTGTTTGAACCGGTTTGATCGCGTGAATTTTGTTATAGGATAAGTTTTTTCTTTGATTAAAGGAAATCGATTCTTTTACGAGTCATGTAAAGAGTACGAAGTCATTTCAACGATAATGGAGTGGTCGGAATTACGATTATTACTCGGCTTGCCTGAAATTAAGATATTAAGACGGCTAATCGATTAAGCTTACTGGCTTTCAGTGAAGGCCTACTGATACCAAAACTCTTTCTTTCTTGTTGCGTCTCGAATCAAACCTGCACCTCTTAAATTGAATCCTTCTGCAGTCCCCTTTGTTGCAAATTGTAAAAATTGTGTGGAATGTTAATATTCCTTGAACAAAATCCCTTCAACAAGTTGATCAATGTTACTTTGGAAAACTGAAATAAAGTTGGTGTTGGAGTCGAACGAAAGGTCTAAATAACCAAATGTTTAAGTAACGTCTTATTAGGCATGATCTCTTGCTGTCTTTCTACTTTGTAATCACATTAACACAATTGAGTGTCAAAATCGTTCCATCAGGGTGACACTTAACACCTCTTTTCCTTTTTAAATTTAACATAGTTTCCATATAAGCTTTACTTCCCTTTGCAGAGTAAAAAAAGTTTTTTTTAAATCTAGAATGCGCTTTATTCTCTCAGATATCAAATATTTTTTTGGTTCGACATGTTTCTGCATTTTTTACTACTTATGTTCGTTACGTCTTATTGAGTCATGTATATCCCTAAGGACACCGTACAATAATCAATAAGAAAAAAAATTTTTTCTCGACCGTTTCACAGCCATTTGTTATCATGACTAATTTTTATAATGTTTAAAATGAGTTAGAATAGCAATCGGTGGTTACCATGTTAAGTATCTCCTTGTGTGCTAAGTGCATGTCATGTTTACTCGGAGTTTTTTACTCGTACATGTATCTGGTACAGTACTTGTTACGTGATTATAAATGAACTTGAATCGCGGACTGCCGGAAGACCTGTGCCCTTATACCTGATATATCTGCGAAAGTTTTGTAAACTCAGAAATACATTTACACGAATTTGCCACCATTCTGACCGTATTGCGCACGCGCCGGTCCACGAATTTTGGCGCTGCGTTTACTTTGTTCATGGTTGACACCTTTTTTTTACTTTCTTAAGGAACTTAACTAGATCCATAACCACCAAACTCTCACTGTTCTCTAATGCTCGTTGGGGGGTAATTTGACGTTTTGCACTTAAACTTAATAAAGCAAACAAAGTCTTCATCAACACCCGCGTCATTCTCGCCGCAAAATTATCCTGCAGCTAAATGATTGTGTTTAGCAAACAAAAAATAAAAACCGCAACCTTCGACTCAAGTTCAAAGAAGTCCATTATTAACAAGACGTGAAACGAACAGGAACGCTTCGTTTCACGGAAACCTTTTGGATGCAAGTTTTCGTCTTTCCCTTGCTCTTTTAAAACATCCATCATGACCGGAATTATCGGAAAAGATAATCACGGGCTTCGTGAATTGTTGCCTTGTGCCAACCATCCAAAGCACAATTTAAGACGTAACAGGCGTTTCGAAATCCCCCGGTGGAGGACAAACCGTTTTAAAAACACCTTCATGATGGCCTCCACCATTAAATATAACAACAACAGTTAATTTAACGACCGTTTCCGAGAAACCTATGTAGATAATGTAAATATAGCTTTTAAATATAGATAGGTTTTAGCTCATAGATTTTTTAATTGTTATAATTTTGAATATTCTTGTATACGTTATATAATATATTTATTTAATTACATTATTGTAATATACGCAATTCAGCCGCAAGGCTGCCAGGTATATTTAAATAAACTATCTATCAACTATCTATCTATCTATAACCACCATATAGATTTTAAGATTTAGGATTAAGAACCTCTATATAGATTTCGCCGGTCCGCGAATTTTGGCATTGCGTTTACTTTGTTCACGGTTGACAATGCCTTACCTCCTTTTGACTTTCTTAAGGAACTTAAATAGATCAATAACCTCCGAACCCACACGGTTCTCTCATTCTCGTCGGGGTGGGGTGGGGGGGGGAGTGATTTGACGATTTGCACTTAAACTTAACAAAGCAAACAAATTCTCCATAAACGCCCAAGTAATTTTCGCCGCAAAATTACCCCGCAGCTCCATGCTTGTGTTTAGCGAACAATGAATAAAAGACGAATATTGACAAGACGTCAAACGAACAGGAACGCTTCGTTTCACAAAAGCCTTCTTTTGGATGCAAGTTTCCGTCTTTTCCTTGTTCTTTTAAAACACATTCAACATACCCTCTATGTAGATTTTAAGATTTAGAATTAAGAACCAACAACACGAGGCATTATCTTTGAATCCGACTTCTTGACAAACTTTCTGCCCCCATCCGATTAAATTTTTCATAGCGAACCTATTTTGCACTTCCCGAAAAGTAAGTAGGGATAGAACTGTGTGGCTGTCCATACTTAAAGATTTCTTATCGTATGCTTTTCCTGAAAAAAAAAAAAAAAAATGCTGCGTAAACAACACATTTTCTTAATACGAGTAGTCAGTGAGGCACAAACTCACCGGTAGATCTGAATAGGAAGCACTGAAGCGAAACCTTAAATGTTTCCAAATTGTTTTGGTTAGTACTCGTCAACTGAATCGTGTCCAAGACTACTTTAAACGTGATTTCTGTGGTCTCCCTGCCCAGCATTGTGCACTAAAGCACGATGACGTGGTTTCTGCTATCGACCAACTTTAAAAAAACAGGAACAGCCCTTCGCACCCAGTTTTAGCATTGTTCAACAACTCTTGCGAAATAACATCAACTTAACGTGACTGGAAAGACCTTTCATATTTCAAAAGCTATACATGAACAAGCAACGCCGAAGAATGGCAATCGCTTGGAGTTTCAGTGTCCACCGGGTAAACTTGGCAGTATTTAGCAACGTTTAAAACGTTCATAGGGCAGAATGCGCTAAACCAGCAAATTTGAAGGCGAAGAGCGCTAAATTAGAGAATGGGCTAAAATCGGTCCACTGGGCTTCGTAAAACTCACTTTTCTGAGTTTTAGAAGTGTTTGCTTCTAAATCAACGCACGGCTTTTTAAAGATTAAAGATATATCTACAATTTGCACCTAAAATGAACGACTTTTATACAGTAGATTATCATTTTGCACTTGAAAATACTCAAAATTCGGGCATTTCTTGTATGAAAATCATTTTCAAGAGCAATTTTCCGAAAACCCTTACTTCCCTCGAAAATGGCAGATTAATTATTGCACCAACAGAATCCGTTTTAACTTTGAAAATTGGCCAACGGGAATTTCATTTTGAAAATCTCCATTTCAGTTTGAAAATCTTATGCCGGAGAATAAAAATTGCTTGTAATTTCAGTATCCACCGGTAATATTAAGTAATGTTTAAAACATTTCTGAACGAGTAAATTTAACAGAACTACATCACATTGTGATGATATTATGGCTACATTTTTATTGATATTCTACGTACCAACAGTGACCGACAGAACAATTCTTTTAAGAATGCTATAGTTTAACTACTTTTTAAAGTAATATACGTGCCGATATCCTTGACTAAGCTCAGTGCTCTTATCATAATTGTTATTGTACAGGAAGGAAGTGGTACGCTTTTTTCTCGAAAGTGTTATTACTCTCTTTTGATTGCTCCGACAATGCGTTTTGAAATCATGCCACTGGTTTAAAAAACGCCTACCCAATGTCAGGCTGCACCCTTGATTGACGAATCGAGGAAATTAGACAAAAAGGAGCAACACTTAGCATCCATATTGACATCGTTTCAAAAGCTCTTGAGAAAGAACAACAGCTTCACGTGACGGAAAGACCTTCCATATTTTAAAGGAAGCGTTATACACAAGCGATGCCAGAAAATTTTAAATTTTTGGTGTCTACCTGGTAAAATTGGCATCGTTTATTGATGCTTAGAGCAATTAGTGAGTTTAACAAACTGTGTTAGGACTTCATGGCTGACATTTTTATTAATACCCTACGTGCGGACGTGGACAGAACAATTCCACTAAGGACTTTACAACTGACTTATTAAGTATTCTTCGAGCCAACAAATCTGGCGTTAACACTCTTTATCATAACGGTTGTTATTCAGTAAAGGAAGTGGTATGCTTTTTAACTAACGCGTCATTGCACTTTTGAACTGCTCAAACAATACGTTCCGGAATCATGCGATCTGTTGGAAAATCGGCATCCCAATGTCAAGTTGTACGCTTGATTGATGTTAAAACAGCATAAAAAGACCCAGTGGACATCTGAACACTCATCAGTCGAAGCCTCTACAGAAAAAGTTGCTTTAACTAAAAAAGATCAAGTTGAGAAAGAAAGGTAAGCTTCTGATCAAGCGCTCATGCAAGTATACTCTTCATTTTTTAAAAATGCAAAGCTGATCAGCTCAGGGAGATGAAACTAAAGAATAATGCTTATGGTCAACCACCAACAAGATTCCCTGCCGCATCAATCGTTTGTGACAGTTTTTGTCCTTAAACGGTCTCTGATATTGTTTAATACACGGCTAAATTTAAACATGATTTATTAACGACCGAGGCAAATTTATCTCACGACCCTTTTAGACTAACTCCCATGAATTTCTACTGAAACGCATAGTTATGTACATGATGATTAAATTCCATATTTCTCGTGCGCCTCAATAACATTTTTTCTCGCTTTCACCATAGATAGTTCACAGCTCCTCATTAGCTACATTACAATATAACATGTCACTTTTACGTGTTCTTTTTAACACTCTTTTTACACGACAAATATGTTTTCAGAGTTTTGGAACATGGCACGGGCAAACAGCGTACATTTGTATGAAGGAGAAGACTATATGGTTCCCTCTAAGGTGAATAGACATTTGAAATAACATCGTTTTATACAAAATTAGAATTCCTATCAAATTTTATGTTTGTCCGTATGGAGTTGATATTGCAGTTGCTTTCAAAGCTCGAATACACTCCTGAACGAGCAAGATCACGTAATTCTATGTAAAGAACTCCCAGGTGTTAACGAATTGCGAGTTGTAATTGCCACCAAAAAGAAAACAACCAGACAAGACACTCAAGGTCTAAACTTATGTATTCAATTTGTTTCCTCAACACATATAGGAAATAACAACTGAGCAATCAGACTTGATGGCAATTGGCTTGAATGGAGCAAAATCTCTTAAAGTTGGAACAAATGCTGGGAATTGGGTCGTGTTCCCTCAACCTGATTTCAAGCCGGTTAATGGAGGAAAACCAATTAAACAGAATCAAAATTACCCTAACCCGGAATCCATGGAACTTTCGGGCCCTGTCATGAGCTTGAGAAAGGTTTCATTGTGATAAAGGCTTCATTCAAGGTTCTGTGGATGAATTTCTCTGTCAAATGATTTGTGAAAGCAACCTAACCAAGTTAAAGGAACTAAAGTAAAAGTAAATCAAGGGCTGCATGATTTTGTTATCAGTGTAATTTCATACAGTACAGTTGTCCACGGATTAAAACATTTCATTCTCCCACCTGAGGAGGTGAAAACTGTTGTGTTTCTTTGTTTGAAGTTTGCTCTAATAACTAATCTACAGCGCCTGTAGCAGTTTCCCCACTGTATTGAACAACTACTCTTTCTATATTTCTCAATTTACGTCAGTCATCAGGTGACCGATAGTCCCTCCCCAATGCCTGGTTAGACAAGAAATAAATTTGAGATATTTCTTCCGAGCTACTGTGTTAATGTATATGTTCTTTTGCCTTCATTCGATCACTTTCTGAAAAGACCTTTTGATCATTCGATCCACTTGTATTTTTTATGTGATTACTAAACCAGGAAACGCCGTCGAAGAAAAAACTATAATAATCGTCAGATCCATCCCTGACGGGGCTGTAAACACATCATCGGCCTCCAAGAGAAAATGGGAGACCAAGAAGAATAAAAATAGATATGACTGAATTGGCCTTATTATGGCATAAATCTAGCAACGGACAGGTATCTAGAAGGTTCTCTTCATTGCAAGTTTGCCATTTACCACCACCTTTGCGAGTTGGCTCCATGCAGTAAAACAAGCTCGCCCCCAAAACATTTCAATTCGTTTCCTTGCAGTAGAACGTTGTATCAACATGAAATTTTACTCTCCTACTCCCTCACTACGTTCGTACGCCGCAGGAAAAATATTTTCCTTCTCCAGAACGCTGACGCATACAAATAGACACAAACTATAGGGCAGGCAGAGTGAGAGCACTTGCCTGCCACGCTGAAAATCAAAGAAAGGGCGATGAGCATACCTCGAAAAAGTCTCCTATCGTTGCCAGAGCAAGAACTAGGAGCGTTAGACGAATTCTTGGCTTTCTCGGTTCTTTTGAAGGCGTTTTGTTTCTTCTGCTTTAGAGCTCTTTCTTGCGCTTTTTTTGATCCTCTTCTCGTCCTCTGAGTCGCTCGCGAGCTCCTCGGTTTGTAATTCTTTAACAGCCAGCCAAAGGCTCTGCATTCTCGGAGAATGCCCCGGGAGGTTCTAACGGTTGTGTTGGGAGTTACGTGTAATTCAGCGATCGCATTACGTGACTGGTGGGACCGTTCGAGCTGGTAAAAATACCTCATGGGTTTTATCCCCCAGCTCGGTCCACCGTTCTTTGCTCCGGAGAATACACTCAAAAATCGCTTCGTCGTCAATTGCTCTCAAGTGATATTTGATCTCGAGCAGTTGCAGACGGTGATCGGCGTTGTTCGGATCTGCCTGCGCCTGTAAATCGAGAAATTCCCTGTCAAGAGCGGCTCGTTCGCGTCGGCAAGTGTTTCCGGCGTTCACGCTATGAGATATGGAAATCTCTTGTAGTTGTAACTTGCCCGTGTCCCACCAGACCCTAGGGTCGGTGAAAAGGGGCTTTTAAGACTGCTATTGAGGCCAGAAGTTTTCCACGTCGGCACAGAACTCGTCTGATTTTAACAGCCGCGTGTTAAATTTCCATAGACCTCGAACCCGGGGATTTGAATGCCCCAAATGTACTTTAATTGACACCATGCGGTGATCCGATACGGAAAATATTCGCTGTTGTGGTCACGCACTTCCGATCTCCGCGCTCGAGGAGTATAAAATCTGTCCAAACGACAACCGACCGAGTGTGGGCCATTAAACCAGGTAAATTCTCGATCAGCTGGTTGTTTGGCCCGAAAAGCATCCTCGAGGGCGAGAGAATCCACAATTGCGTTTAACTGCGGAATCCCCCGATCCCCGAGGCTGTCATCGCCACCCCATTTATCCAACCGGATGTCTGGCACACAGTTAAAATCACCTGTCAAAATGTGGTCATCAGGGCGGTCGACATAACGCCACAAGTTGTTAAAAAATGTCTCGCGATCGGAGGGATTATTTGGAGCGTAGACATTTATAATTTGAAGAGTATCATTGTGCGATTTGGCATTCGCGGTGAGAACACGGCCGTCCGTGTCCATAGAAAATTTAGTACTTTCAACTGTGCTCTGGGGGTTGACGAGTAAGCCCACCCCAGCCGATCGCGTGGTGCCCGGAAACCAGAGCGCGCGACTGCCCCATTGTTTTTCCCAAAGCTTACCTGTCTCGACATCTGGTAAATGTGTCTCCTGCAGGAGATAGATGTCGAATTGCTTTTGTTGAGGGGCATTAAAAACTTTTTCCCGTTTGGGAAATTCGGCGATGCCATTGACGTTAATCGTACAAATGGACACCGCCATAAAAAACAGAAAGAGGAAAAAAATTAACTTAGCCATGAGTGTTAAACCACAGGCCACCCAAGCTCTCTTTGAGAACCACACAAGGAACACAATTTGCATATTTATAAGGATTTGTATGGGATTTTCTACAAGATATCTACAGAGATAGTTAAAAGTGAAAATATTCAATAAAATGGCTCACCTTGTTCCATAAGTGTGTTGTTTGCTCCTGGTGTCATTATTTTACCGATTTCACTTGATTTAAGCGGTTTTTTTTTAATCCTGGTTTTCTACTACATAAAGAGAAGACAAGGTGTCGTAGAAGACCAGGATTAAAAAAAACCGCTTAAATCAAGTGAAATCGGTAAAATAATGACACCAAGAGCAAAAAACACACGTATGGAACAAGGTGAGCTATTTTTATTGAATATTTTCACTTTTAACTTTCTCTGTGGATATCTTGTAGAGAATCCCATACAAATCCTTATAAATATGCAAATTGTGTTCCTTGTGTGGTTCTCAAAGAGAGCTTGGGCCGCCTGTGGTGGTCGGCTGAGCGCCATTCCGCGGTGTCTGGAGTGTAGCCACAAAAACCACAGATATCAGATCTGCCGTACTCACCACCTCTATGATCTTCGAAGGCTTAAAACGCATATAAAAACTTGTAGAGAAAAAGCCTGCGAATAAAACTTGACTACTGTTTGAGTTTGTTGTTGGTTCTCGTCCTTGCTCTGAGGGTTTTTCTCCGGGTCCTCTGGTTTTCCTCACTCCGCAAAAACCAACATTCCGAATTCCAATTCGTTCTGGAAACGGTGGACAAGAAGAACCACCCAGTGGAATGTCCATTGCTAAATTATTTATTTTTATTAAAATTTTTGATTTCACATGGTTTGTCACTGTTCGCGGCGACACAATCAAAATTTAAATTTTAGGCCTCACGGAAAGGTACCCCACCCATGGAAACCGTAACCCCATGAAAATCTCAGACATGTGGAGATTACATTACTTTGTAACACTGCTTGAGAAAAAGAACGCGGGCTCGTGCCGTGATTTGTTTACATCAAAGTTCCAGATTTTTGTTAATTAAATCGCCGGCCGACTCGCCGACGATGAGACCTGATGGCACGTTATAAGAGCTCACAGCAGCCAGTTTTCTTGCAAAAATCAGCCACCAGTCAAAAAGAAGCCGAGATAATATGCAAATTTTTCCGAAGAAATAGAAAAAAGCAGCGTTGCAGTGCAAGTGTGCAGCTTTTTAAGTGAAGAAAAACTCGATCGACTCGAGAGAGAGTGTAAGGGTTCGAGATCCGAAAACGCCAATCTAAAAGGAACAGTGAAAACCTTAAGACGCAGTCTCGGCAAGTGTTTTTCAGAAGGGAATGGAAATGCAAACACTTGCAAATGTCTACGAATACTACTGCAGATTGTCTGAGCCACCAATTACGGTGACTGATTTTCATTCCCATTCTGAAATTTCGCCGGTTGCAACTTGCGCGATCGTAGTTAATACCACTTTTAAATGGTATTAATCATAAACCGTTAACAATCTTACCNTCAGGAATGACTGGAAATGTTTTTGGGAATACTTTACGTGCCAGTAATCAGCAAACTGGAATGACCAGTCGTCCCTTAACTAGCCAATCCACGACCATGTCTGGTACAAACTTTAGCCAATCAGCTGCTTCAAATTCTGGCTTCTTTGGTGTAGAAACCGAATCAAAACCTGGAGTTTTTGGTTCTGTACCTTCCCCGGCAGTGACTGTGGCTTTTCCAAGTGAATCCCAAGCACAGAAAGACATTGGCACAAACCCTTCAAACCATACATCGGGCAGCTCAATGGTAGGTGTATCTTCATCTTTTTTTCTTAGCAGCGAGAAGGAGGGAAGCTATTACTTTAAATTTGAAAACTGGCATGTAGCTTGACAATTTTTATCTCGTGGAGGGTGGTGAAAGGTAAGCCGAGTTGCTGTAGGCACTGTCATTCTTGTGGCATTGAAGATGCTTTCAATGAAATCGTCATTTTACGTTAACTTTAAAATTTGATCCGATCGTTGATTTTAGACACTAAATTGCTTTATTTCGTCAAATTTGTCCAGATTCTAAAACCAGAAAGTCATTTGAAACTCTCGAGTGAACATGAGAAAGTATCAGATCTTATCTGTTTGTGATCTCTTTGGTTATTAGTCATCAACACGGAGGGGGCTTATACGCGAAAGCCAAGGTTGTGTTCTGCATGTATTTTAACGTTGCTTTGGTGGCAGCATCCTTATGAAAAGACCAGAGATTTTCTTCCCTGTTGACTGTTGTACGTACTAGACATTACTGGTTGATAGCTATAGATAAATAACTTTCAGTATAATTTGTATAATCATGTCGTGAATCGAAAGTTAATGAATGTAATTGGCGAGTTTTGTAACGAAATGAAATTTCGGGAAAAGAGGACTTAGAGCTGTGAAAAGAAAACATATAACGAGCCTGAACTTGTTTTGATTTTCTTTCTCTCAACAGAGATCTACTCCAAAAGCCATGTCATCAACAGAACAGTCAACAACTTTATCTTTCACTTGTAGTGAAGAAGATATGCAAGCCTTCAGGGCGGACAGTTTTGTTCTTGTAAAGATACCAGAGTGTCCACCACCATTAGAGTTATGTTAAAAACTTTGATCCTTGAAAAGCTGAGAGACTCTTGGCAGCTAGTCTCGTTTAAACTCTAGCGTGAACTCTTTAGCTCTTCGTTTTCTATTCCTGGCAGTCTTCACCTTCCTAAACTCTCGTTGTTTCTTTTTGGTTTATTAGTGTCTCTTTGGTGTTTGTCCACTGCGGGATTTTTTCCTATATTGGGTGGCACTGACGGGGAAACTAGCTGCAGATCGCAACACTATTTTACTAAAGGCACCAAGGATTCCCGACCTGTCTTTTCTCGGTCTTCTTTAATCACTTGGCTCTAAAATATACAATTCTTCTTACATTGATTTCACTTCATTCTGACTCTATCTCTGATTAATCTTTATTTGATTCTTACACGCCTAAAAGTGGGCGTGCTTTTTATTGACTTTCGAAAAGCATTCGACACAGTGAACCATACCATCCTTCTAGAGAAGCTAAAGGCAATTGGGATATCTGGCGATTTGCATTCGTGGCTTACCGATTACATGTCGGCACGTAAACAATTTGTCCAAATATCAGGATATCAGTCCGAGCACAAAACCATCACACATGGAGTTCCCCAAGGCTCAATACTAGGGCCAAAATTATTTTCAATATTTGTAAACGATCTTCCAGAATCAATAACTAGTGGTGAATTATTTATGTTTGCCGATGATACCACTATTTTTACAATTGGAAACAACATCGACGATATCATCTTAACACTCCAGTCTGTACTAGACCAGCTGTACACCTGGTGTCAATCAAACAGATTAATCGCCAACGAATCGAAATCTGAAGCCCTGATAATTTCTAGCCAGAACTTTATTGGCCCCCTGCCACGCTTGGCCTTTGGTAATAGCTTTATTGAGTACAAAACATCATCTAAATGTCTTGGGGTGACAATTGACAGCAAGCTATCATGGCAGGAGCACATAAAGAACGTTTGTAAGTCATTCAGCAACAAAGT